CCATTACAAAGCGGATCACGAACCACGTAGGCCATCCGTGTATCATCCGGTCGAATCGGAATGGAAGCGTTGTACAGTTCGGCAACTTTGTGTGCCAACGAGGGAATGCAACCTTGCAATTCGTCCAACTCGTGCGTTTCTGTGGCCCGTGACACGGAAACCGGTGAACCTCGGAACGAGTAACTTCGTACATTCATGGATGGCTCATGTTCTGGTTGCTGCTGCCGATGCCGATGCTGTTTCTCTTCTTCCTCGTGCAATTTCTGTTTGTGTTCGAACACTACACGCTTAGTACAAGCGAGAACATCCGCCACAGTCTCTGTGGACAGCCGATTGATTTGATACAACCACGAGGATGAACCGGTACCGGTGGAACAGGTCACTCCGCTCGACTTCTGTCGAACGTATTTCTCCCCGTCGATTGAAATATCGTATTCTGAGACTCTAATAACAGACGCACATATAAACAAAAAAACAGTCAAATAAGGGACATGTATTCCACGGCACTTAACCAACTGCCTACTATTTGTAACGAAATTTAGATGAACGAAAAAGGTGTCCAGAATAAATGATTCAAACGAAAATCGGACAAAAGTGTTCCGTATCAACGATAATCAACTTTGAATCCTGGATTCAATCCTAGAAGAACATGAAGTGTAATTGAGGCGGATAAAATAGAAATTGTCACAATGGGCAAAAATTGTCCGGTAATGATCTTGGTTTTACAACACGCAACCCAAAGCTTATTAAAGTCACACACACGCAAATACAATTCAATAGATGCCATCATATTGTATAACTACGTCACTGGTCGACCAGCATCTGTACCAAAATCAATATATGAACGAGGCCTATCCAAATACAGACAGGGACTCGCATGTGAACTGATAATCCTGTAGGTGTGCGATCGATTCGAGGGTCGCTTTCATCCCACGAAAAGTTCTGTGTTTCATTTTCCGCCTCCCAAAGTTACGCCTGCTGAAACCCCACTGTTTCGAGGCCGCATTCATCTATGCTGGTGTGGATCCGTCTCTAAATGCTGCACTGAACTATCTATGCCCGGAAATTTGCACGTGATTTGCTGCCAATCATTGGACAGGATTGGTGGATGCCCATGAGATCTAAGTTAAGTGAAACCCAACTGATCTCACTACCGATTGCTGAGAGTCATCAGTCATAGCGGTCGCTGCTGTATGGTTGTTATATGATGATTCGTCACCATTTTCAAAAAATCGGTTGCATTATTGACACAAAATTCTCATTTGGAGAAAGACTGTAAGAACTTCGAATGAGACAAAGTTCTGTTGCCAAAAATATTTTGGTGTTTCGCGAAAAGCAGAGGCCTATAACAACAAAAAACGTTCATTGGATCAAAAGACGTGCCTCTCCCGAAGGAACTGAAATTTGAAAAGAAGTGATTCGCAGCACACACCACCGATTTTCGCCTATCTGTGCGACTCTGACAAGCACTTGCTGTCGGTTCGGTTCACGATATAGTCGATCCAACCCATCATATAGAACAAGTACCAGTGGTATTAAGTGCGATGAAAAGCTATAAAAATAAAAATGCTGTTCTACTATACAAACCACATCAGTTTCACTTTCAGTTTTTACAACCATTAACCATGCACTTTTGTGAGCCGGTTTTGGTTGCCCATTTGGATAAAAGAGCGAAATGAAGATAGGAATGTCGAACCAAATTCAAGCGGAAGATGGGGAATTCATATAGAGTGGTGTTAGGAAAATAACGAGTGGATGAACAAGCGCCACTGTTTGCGACACCCAGCCGTATCACTCAGTGTAGCTAACCATCGGTGACCATCATCCCGAGGTCCCCAGCCAGGGAGCCTAACGGGGCCTATGTGACCTAGTCTCCTGGTTAGGGTTTGCATACCCTCATGCCAGGTCTTAGTTTGACCGCC